GTCTTTTCTACAATATGTAAAGAGTAATTTTAGTTGGGTCTCTTTCTACTTTTTGTAAATCTGTGTTAGCTGTAAAAGGTGTAGGAAGAAGTTTTTATTTGGCTTGCTCAAGAAGCTATCTTCTTGTATTACTCTAACCAAGAAACCTGAATACGTATGAAGTGATTTTCAGCCCTTCTCTTGCTTTGTTTTTGTTCTGTGTTTTACTTCAATTTATTGCATGCAAGTCCTTTGTTTTAGAACATTTTCTCCACTTTGTATGCATCCATAGTTAACTGAAATTACAGTCAAAACCTAACAAGTGGTATTAGAGCTATAAGGTTTGTTGGAGCAAGTTTGGGTGTAAGAAAGTTGAAGAAAATTTGATTATGGAGAATGGCCAACACTAATGTTGTTAATTTTAGAACAGTCCAAGTTCCTATTTTTGATGGAGAAGACTATGATTTCTGGTATGTTAAAATGAAAATCTATTATTGTCTTTGGATATGAAGAACCAGAAAATGTAGCAAATCTCATAGCAACTCAACAAAAGGAATTGAAGGACAAGAGAAGTAAGAATGCAGGAGCACTTTCAATGATTCAAAGAGGAATTAGACCTTGAGCACTGAAAAGGCAAAGGAAGATTGGGATACATTTCAGCAAGAGTTTCAAGGAGACAAAAAGGTAAGGGCTGTTAAACTTCAATCTCTTAGAAGAGATTTTGAAAATATGAAAGTAAAGGAAAATGAAAGTTTAAATGATTATTTTAGTAGATTTATGGAGTTTATAAATCAGATCAAAGCACATGGTGAAAAATTTGATGATATGAGGATTGTTGAGAACATTTTAATTAGTTTACATGAAAAATTTGATCATATTGTAGCTGTCATTGAAGAATCAAAGGATCTCACTGAATTAAGTGTTCAAAGGTTGTTACCATCTCTAAAATCATATGACCAAAGATTGGCACGTCACTCTGAAAAATCAATAGAGTGCATTCCAATCCAAGCTCAATGTTAGTTCCAAAAGTCATAATGGAATATCCTCAACTCATGAACATGGAAAAGGAGACTCCTATAGAGGAGGTGGATATGCTAGAGGAAGAGGCAAATGTACTTTTAACAGAAAATCTAGTGATGAAGGGCCATCACAACGGTGTTTTATTTGCAAAAGAAGCAGCCATATTGATAAGGATCATTGGTTTAAAGGAAAGCCATAATGTCATTTTTGCAAAATGTTTGGGCATCTACAAAAGGACTATAGATTGAAAAACAATCAGTATGCAAATTTTGCAGAAGAAAAAGAAGATGAGGAAACTTGTTTTATGCATGTCAAAGTGCTATGGAGGAAAACAATGATGTGTGGTTCTTGGACAGTGGGTGTAGCAATCATATGACAAGGCACCTAAATATTTTTCTTGACATTGATACATCATTTAGCTCAAAAGTGAAGTTTGGAAAATGGAGAAATTGTTGAAGTAAAAGGCAAATGCACAATTGGTGTTGAAACAAAGAAGGAAAGAAAATTTATACATGATGTGTTATTTGTACTTGAGTTGAATGAGAATTTTCTCAGTATTGGACAGCTTTTGGAGCATGGCTATTCACTCCATTTTGAAGATCTTGGTTGTACCATTTATGACCATCAGAAACATGTGGTGAAAAACATGAAAATAAAGACAAATAGAAGCTTTCCATTAGAGTTTAATTATACAATAAATGTTGTTATGAATGCCAAGGAGATTGATGAATCATTGTTATGGCATAGAAGATTTGGCCACCTAAATTTCAAGGGGCTGAAACTATTATCACAAAAGGAGATGGTTGAAGGGCTTTCAAAATTGAAGAAAAACATGAAGTTTGTGATGGTTATGCACTAGAAAAGCATCACTGACAACCATTTTCCAAAAAGAATTGCATGGAGCAAGGTTCAAAGTATCGACACATATTGGCCCGTATTGGCCGATGCGTATCATTCCAGGACCTCCTCGATATGCCCCTACAGTTGGTATATCGGGGTTCTAACTTGTTTAGGGGGTGAAGGAGCCCTAAACCGGTTTTGAAAAAAATAAAAAAAACAGAATTAATATTGCCCAGTACGCCTCTACCGACGTATCAGGCACGATATTTTGAACCTTAGCATGGAGAGCCAACAAAATGCTGTAATTAGTTCATACCAAAGTGTGTGGACCCATGAGGACTCCCTCTCATTCTCAAAACAAGTATTTCATTCTTTTTATTGATGATTATACTCGCCTGACTTGGGTTTATTTTATGAGAGAAAAATCTGATGTGTTTAATATTTTCAAGAAATTTAAATGTCTTGTTGAGAAACAAAGTGGTTGTTATATTAAAAAATTGAGAAGTGATTGTGGGAAGGAGTATACTTCAAATGAATTTGATAAATTTTGTAAAGATGAAGGCAAGGAAATGCAACTTCCAGTCCGTTATACTCCTCAACAAAATGGAGTATCGGAGAGGAGGCTGATTACCTGATAAGTTTTATCTTACTTAAGTCCATTATCCTTGGGTCTTCATATGATGGCTGAATTCAAGGATCATTTAGGTGTAAATGTTGGGCTTATATTGATCCCAAAGTGATATGCTCATGAATTCACATGTTTAATAGTAAATTCGGCTAAACCTTTTCAAAGAGGCTGGGTGGAACCCATGTGGACTTATGTGAGATCATTGTGGGGTCCTGCGCCATACAAATTAGGCCTAAGTTGGTCATGCAACATCTTGGGTCGTGATCCTTTAAAAGAAATGGGCCTAAGGCCCATAATTAATAAGATTAAGTAAACTATCACATGACAAGTTGTCATGTGCTCTTGGTCAAATCTGGGCTTGGAAATGGGTATGAAGCACCTATCCTCTTAAGAGGATAATGTCTATCTCTTAATAGAGTCTTAGATCCAAATTAGATTTAAATAATCTCCTAATTTGATTAAGAGGGTGAACCAGACTATAAGATCACTCTCTCTTGTTATCTTTTCTTCTCCTTGTCTTCCAAGAAACCCTATCACGACCTAGGCTTTTAAGGACTGATAGAGATCAGGTTTCTTTCAATTTTTGCAAAAAAAATTTAGAGGAATTTTAAGATCACCTTCCCCAATTCGATTCAAACAGTTGGGTTGTAGTTTTATAGTTTTGTCATATTCAATGAAGGTTAGTTTTAGGATTGATTTGGGTGTGAACTTTTCCCACCTTGGGATCTATGCTTTTGGTATCTGATGAGGGCGGATTTGGCCATCCAATGATATTGTGACACATGGCACATCGGAACAACTGGGTGACACCCGGAACCATTTAGGCAACAACTTAGCCAAGATGATGGTGTCCCGAATTGGCGACCAGGCACAGGCGTCGACCTGGCGACTTGGCACTGACGCTGACCTGGCGACCAGCCTTTATGCCGAACTAGCCACTTGACTAGTAGGACAACAGCTCAGCTTGACACACCAAGTCCACAACGGATCGAGCTCGGATAACCGAACCACCTCGGGACAAGTCCACCTCGGGACAAGTCTACATCAGGACGAGTATACCTCGGTGCAAGGTCACATTAGGACCACCTCGGTCCCAAGGCACTTCGGCATTCATATCAGGTCGGACCTAAAGAGCACGAGCTTAGGCAATGCTGACCGACCACCGCATGGCAACCCCGGGGATCTCGTCACCGTACTTCGTGTCTTACAGGATCATACCTTGTAACGGATAATATTATCTCCCCACTCCCCGATTCAGGCGGAAATGGTCAGCCTTACCGGTTGGTAGCGTTATCCCCAACTAACACGGAAACGGATCATGTCGCAGCGAGAATTCCGGAACTACTCCACCGAACCCGCAAGGACTTCAGTATATAAAGGCTTCACCCCCCGGGGTGAGGAGATGCGTAATCTCTACTCTCTAGTTCTCTCACAATCTAATATCATTTTCAACTCACAACCAAATACTAACTTAAGCATCGGAGTGACCCTGCCGGGTAAACAACTCCGGGTTATCTGGTTCATCTCTTGTAGGTTCATTGAGCTCGTCGTTGCTGGTAGCCAGATCATCTCTTGCAGGGAGTAGCCGAATTGCGCTACATCAGTATCCATATCAAATACAATCTCTCTCTCTTTATTTGGTTTCTAATCTAGTCTGGTTCAGTGTAAAATTAATCCGAAAAAATACAATTTTTCAAAATATAAAAAATTCAATTCTCATTAAAATTATGAAAATTTTAAAATTTCGCCCAATCATTTAATATAATTCGACTATCCATATGATAATGGATCCTAACCCTTTCAATAACCCATGCATAAATGGTTGGCCAATGTCCAATTCACAAACATTAAAGAGAAAAAAAAATTGGGTCTACATTGGTCTACATTGGATGCATATAGAAAGATAGGTAAAGTTAAATTACCTAAATATCCCTCTACTTTCATTAATTAAATAATGTGGAAGTACGTGAAGTGCTTTGTGTAATAAGCAAATGGAGCTTAGTTGAATCATGGATATATAACTTTTCACTATTACCACTACGCCACTATTAGGATTAGAGATTTAGATCTACTCATCTGGCATTCTCATGGATAAGGACAAAAGTGGGGACAATACAACACCGTTTGATGGAACGGCTAACTTTTGTATTTACCTTACCGCCATCATCAATCCGTACTTAAAAGTTGTTTAATTTTCAAGGCATCATATTCATTCTTTTGCATTGAAGTAGCTTCTACTTTCTAAGCTTTCGTAAAGTTATAAAAAAATCGACGGTCATGATCAATTTTTTATTTGGGGCTTATAGAGATTCCCATCAATCTATCATTCATTGCTCATTGACAGCTTGTAAATTTGCTATCATCCATAATAGCGGGAAAATCAAAAATTGATTTTACATTTATTGTCCTAAAATAAAAAAACAAGGGTAATTTGGTCCAATTAGAAAGACATTCAGGGCTCCGTTTGTCAAACTCGTAAATCGAGAACACTGAACCCGACTACTGTCTGGCCAGAATAACATGGAATGACGGAATACTTTTGTCCGCTCTTCCTTGCCTTTTGCAGCTCTCACAGTCTCACTCACTCACTCAGCTCCATTGCTCGCCCAGAGCCTCAGCTTATCTCTTCCCTCTCCTCTTCTCGGAGGCTTGGAGCAGAGGAATCAAGCAAAACCCAGAAAACCCAGCACCATAGATCCTCCAAAACCGCATTCAAATGCCGAAACAGAGGCTCATCACCTTGGCAAACACATATCCCTTGTTGTTCTTCTTCTTTCTTCTAACGTCGCATGTGTTTGTAGTCACTTCCAAATCAACAATAGAGCCCTGCTCGAACTCAGATTCCTGCAATGCCCTCGTGGGTTACACGCTCTACACTGACCTCAAGGTCTCTGAAGTCGCCACTCTTTTCCAAATCGATCCAATCGCTCTCCTACTAGCCAATGCCATCGACATCTCCTACCCGGACGTCGAGAACCACATCCTCCCAGCTCGTCTCTTCCTCAAAGTGCCCATCACCTGCTCTTGCGTGGACGGCATCCGTAAATCCGTCGCGACCCGTTATAAGACTCGGCCTTCCGATACTCTTGCCAACATTGCTGATTCTATCTATGCTGGTCTTGTCTCTGCTGACCAGCTCAGGGAAGCCAATTCGATATCGGATCCGTCGGTGCTTGATGTGGGGCTCTCGCTTGTTGTTCCCCTTCCCTGTACATGCTTCAATGGGACGGATAACTCACTTCCTGCGGTTTATCTTTCTTATGTCGTGAGAACGGTGGATACATTGGCGGGAATTGCTGCTAGGTATTTGACGACGATAACGGATCTTATGACTGTTAATGCTATGGGCAACCCAACAATTAACGCTGGTGATATTGTTTCCGTTCCATTGCCTGGTAACTTGGCGTTTCTTTCTTCACATTTTTAATGGTGTTATTTTGAGTATTCCTCGAATATCTGTTTTAGATTTAGTTGAGCATCAAATGGGTTTTATGGTTTCGAGTGTTTTAAGTGTAGATTCTTAATGGGTTTTGGTTGGAGCATTGAATCAATTGTACTTAACTTTTAATATAAACGGATTTATTGGGTTTGCGTGGTTTGGGAATTTGAGTATTGATCTGGATGAGACATTACTGTTATATGACCAGTTGTTTATGCCTGATTACTATTTTTTTTTTTAATTTTTCATGTATCAATAAATTTATTTACAGATAGGACTTGGGTCTGTCTTGTTTCTTCTATTACAGCTTGTGCATCCAATTTTCCGAGTTATTCGTCGGATTTTGGTTTGATTGTTCCAAACGGCAGTTATGCTATAACAGCAAGTCACTGTGTGCAATGCAGTTGCGGCCCAGGGAATCTCAAGTAATTGAGCAACTTACACTTTCCTTCTGTTATTGCTTTTATAGTCTTAGCTGTTTATTAATGCATTTGTTCCACAGTACTCTTCTACGTTAATCTATTACATTGTGGGTTTCCTTCAGTTTATACTGCACACCAGCTCCCCTGGCGGTTTCTTGTTCAAGCATGCAATGCGCAAACAGTAACCTCATGCTTGGGAATGCTACAATGCAAGCTACTAGTGGTGGCTGTAATGTTTCTTCTTGTAGCTATGGCGGTTTCGTAAATGGCAGTATTGTCACAACGTGAGTTTGCCATCATGTCATGTAGTTGACTTTAATTTCTTCTCTTTCTCTTTGATCCTTCTATATCTTTACCGAATGTTGTTTATTTAAGGTGGAGTTTTGTTGGTCCTTGAATGATTCAATTCCTTTCTTGGATTTGCAGGTTGTACACTTCTCTTCAGCCTCGTTGCCCAGGTGAAGCGAATTGAATTCTTTATGTTAACAATTGTTTTGTTTAATTTATTGTGTTGCGTTTTAAGTTTGTAATTTGTAGTTTTATAATCAACTTCTTCAAATGATGCAGGGATGCACCAATTTCCACCACTCATAGCCCCACCTACCTCAGCAATTGATGGTTCCTTATTTGTTCCGGCACCTGCACCTACTGAATCAGGTGGCGTGGGATCAACAACACCTAAGACATCTGTGGTACCGCTTATTGGGTCCCTTCCTGGCTTAGCTCCTGCCAATGCCCCTGCTGGAAGTACTTCTAGTTCTCCTCTGTTGATAAGACCATTGTCAAGTTTTCCAAGTGCAATCATTCTATACCTATTTATCAACTTGTTCTTGATGGCATTATAACTTTTCTCTTCAAATGGGTACTGGAATGTGGGTTTTTGTTTGTCTCCAGTTGCTACATTTTAGCTGGCTCACTTTGTTGTATTTAACTTTATTTCTATTTTTCCTTGATAGATTTTGTAGTAGTGTTCTATAGCATTTTGTATTATGCAATGCAATTTCTCTGTACTGTCAAATTTGGGAAGTTGTCCTTTCTGTAATTTTTACCAATGATTTGGAATATCAAAGGATGCAGCCTTTTGCGTCGTTCTGTTCCCTTGAGAAGGTTGTGTAATGGCAGGTATAAGATCCAACCTTCTTCTCTGAGAATGAGTGCAGTTGTGCTCTGTGTTTCTTCAGGTGCATGTCCTAATTTTCCTTTTTTGTTCATTAGAAATTTTGGTATGTTTGATTAGTGTTATGCTTTTCTGAACAGTAATGAAAGAGTGAGTAAATATATGCTTCTATCATGTCTTTGCCAGAGGATGAGGTAGAAGAATGAAATATTTATCATGTTTGCTGTTGTTATTTTCTGTGCACTTCAAAAACCTGACAGTTGCTTAACTTTACTCTGTATCCTTGGAGTTGATTATGTCAGTTAAAGCCCCCTCTCTATTTGCACTTGTTCTTTCTAACAATCTAATGTTAAAATTAAAACAATTAATTCAATATTTTGATGTGATTATACAGCTGGCTTGTACTTTATCTTGGCTTCATGAAAAACCCAAGTTTTATTTATATAGGCATGAGGATTGCATTAAATCTGTTCTGATGAATTTGTAGCATTATATTTGACTTGAGTGAGTTTTGAGATATACACTCAGTACTCATCATTGATTCTTGATGGTGCATGGCAGTGCTTATTTTGACTGTTCTCTTAGAATAACACTTATACTCTAGTATTCAATCCATGGGCGCCACCCTTCTAGTTATTGTGTGCTGAGAGATTGCGCTTTGAGTTGAGGCAAACAGATTTTTTTTTGACAGATAATTTTTAGGTATGCAGTTAAAACATTGTTTTGAGATAGCTAGTATCACTGTTGGCATTGACTATGGTAATCTAATTTATGTCATGATTACATGCATACAGTATACATTCAACTGAGTTTATCTTCTTCTATTTTCATATTAGTACAACACTTGTCAAGAAAAATGTTCATATTGATCCTTCATCTTTGGAAATTTAGAAGTTCTATTCAAAATTTTGTTTTATTACCAGGGCAATTGCTTCTTGAAGGTTTTATGTGGCTCTGTTAATTGGATGTTCTTTCCCCTTGATGTATTGTGTTAATCCTAATATATTCTTCTATCTTAACTCGTTATATTTAGGATTTGAGCATTTCTATCTATCAACCATGGTACAATTTTCTATTGGAATTATAATCTTGGAAGTCCCAACATATTGAGTTTTTTCACTGGTTCTGGCTTAAAACATAGTTCTTGATATAGTGATTAGCAATGCCATTGTTTTGTTTATAACTGTCTTGATGGCCTTTATGATCTAAAATGATTTTCCAAGTTGAGCTTCAGTTTACCAGTTGATACAAAGTTGGGACTTTTCTTCTTCCAGAAATCAATTTCTGTTTTCTTCTCAAATTATTAATCTACAACTGTCTCCAGACCCACAGAAACAGGAGAAGAATCTTCCACGTGTGCTACGTTGCTATTTTAGATCTTTTATAGAGAAAGGGTTAGTTGTGTGGACCCAATTAGTAGTCAATTTTTTTTACACTTTTATATACATTGTACAGACCAATACCACCTCCCATTTGTACTAGTCTGTTTATGCGGATCTTATAGATGAAAGGTGTCTTCCTTGCCTTGGTAATAAGACATGGTCTTCCATGCTTTTGGTGTTTGTTTGTCAGTGATAAGGTGTAGTAGTTTGTCACAAACAAATTCTGTGGACTGAGTTGTTAATAAGATTCCAGAAAGCCATTACACAATCAACATATATTAGGCTTTAGGTGATCCAGACATTGTGATAAGCATACGGTATACACTCAATAGGTGTTATGGAACACTAGGAAAGGGATGATTAGTGATAACTTTACTGTGAATAGGTGCTTCTCTTTATATATTTCAAGAGCATTGTGATATGTTAATGAGTGTAAAAATCACAATTATCTTAGGAATCGACTCTTCTATTTAGATTTGAAAAATTAAGTTAAAATATGTTGTGGCTTTATCATTATCTGCAATTTTTGTTCTTAAGGCTTAGGAATGCTTTTCTTTTATGGTATGAAGAACAGAGGTATTAGTTGTTTGCTTGCAGGAGCATTCAGGAGAAACTAATTCTTAAACCCTAGTGTTTTGAGGTAAGGCTGGACAAGTTCCAAGATATAGGGTTAGGCTTTGAGATTTTCAGTTCAGACTTCAGAGCAGTATCAAAGTGGGGAATGTTTTGGTTGGTAAAATTAAGGGAAAATTCCCGAACTTTCGAAATGCAACAATATAGTACTTGCCATTAATGGATCATCAGTTGTGTATATCACGTGACCTCAATTGTGGTTTATGATCTTTGTAAATGTCAAAATTACCCTTGGAAATAAAAGAAACTGTAAATCATCTTCTTCCTGCAGAGCCCAAGATCTGTCACAAACACCAAAACCCTTGCAGCAGAGTCCAATCTCTCTGAAACAGAGCCCAAGTTCTTTGTCACAAACACTTGCAAGGACTTTGCCAAGAACAGAAAATTTCAAGTTTTATACAACTTATTTTTATTTTTTGAACTTAACACAGTAATATTTTATTCCTATATGTGAAAGAGAGAACTGGAAGGTTTGCCTTGATACGAGAGAGATCAGTGATGGTGGCAGAAGACTTTTCTCTTTTTCCGTTTTTCAGATAAAGGCAAAGTCGTTGCAAGCATGAAAAGTCAAATGTAGTTTTTTTGGAGACCAATTTTTTATCTTTAGAATAGCCTCTTGCAAACATGAAAAGTCAAATGTAGTTTTTTCTGATTTTTCAAACTAGATATGTTGAATTTAGTATTGTGAAGAAAAAATGTAAATTGAACCACTACATGGATATTTAATAGATTATAGAGGTGTTTTCCATTTTCAAATTCCACCCAAAAATCCAAAGAAGGGAGACTCTTACCATAAGGTGAAACACAAACTTTAGAATGACTCTGAACAAGATCAGTTTTGTTTTGCACTCCTAATTGAATTGCTACAATTTGTCCATACAACATCAACATTTGACCTCACAATTGTATCCCCTACTCCAGTATACACCATGCAGTGGATCTCAGATCCTATTGATGCCAATTCACCATGGTGATGTGGAATTCCAACTTCCCCAGAACAAAGTTGGACCATTTTTGGACTTCAATGAGAAACTAGAGTCTCCAAAAAATGCAGTCCATCAAATTCCGGTGCAAACCGAGTTCCTTTGCAATTTAGAAGGCTCATCAGGTGGCGAGATTTTCTCTTTTTCCTTCTCTGAATATGTCACATTCTTAAAGAGGTCCTTCCCTTTGTTGTGATCTCTGTCTTTGAAATCTCTTCCATTGCCCATCCCTTGCTCCTACTCTACAAGTTCACAGATCCATTCAGTCAAACTAAAATTTATAAATGAAAAGAGAGAAAGGAAGGAAGAAACCAAGAAAGGAGAAAACATAATAAGAAGAAACCCAAGAGAAGCATGATAATGTACCTCATTGACATAGATAGCCAAATCAGCGATGCTTCAGAGCGACATTTGCAGTGGAGATCAATTGAAACCTATAAAAGTTCACAAGAAAAGAACGACAAAAGTGTTGTTCTGATTTTAGCGGATGACGGAATATTTAGAGAAGAACGAAGAAACAAGTGTTGTCACAAGGATGAAAATTTTGATAGTTGGTTTTGATTTTAGGTGGTTGATAAAGAAAATTAGATGACACTTGAAGGGCATTTGTGTATTTTCACATGTACTTAATGGCTGGCTAATGGCAGGTACTAGATTGTCGCGTTTTGAATGTTCAGATATTGGATTGTTGCATTTTAAAGTTCAGGGGCAAAATTGTCACTCGAGTCAAAGTATAGGGTACTGATCAAGAATTTTCCCTAACATTAACATAAGCAGTGTTTATTTCAAAAGGTTTTTTGTGGGAAGTCACCAAGCATACCAATCCATCTGGGTCTTTACTGGGAACTGTTATGGTTCAACTCAAGAATCAAAATATCGGTATTGGGTATTGTTTCCAATAGTTTGGATATGGATGTGAATACAAATACACTTGGGAAATGGATGGATGCGTACAAAAGATGTGGAAATGCTTGAATATAGTAGGAAAATCACTGTAAATCACATAAATATATTAGTAATGTAAAATCTAGTGTTGAACTTTCTATGAATAAGGTATAAGCACTTGAAAAATGCACACTTAAATATTTTATATGAAGAGAAACATTACAATTAACAATACAGGGATTCTAGAACATGTATACATCATACAATAATTATCACTTTATTTTGGTTTTTATGATTATAATTTTCAATTTTTATTAATTTTTTAAAATTATTTATTTAGTATTTTTACATAAATAATAATTCCATTTTTTCAAATAATAAATATATATTTTTTATTTTTAATATATAATTGTAAAATAAAACATATAAATCATTTAAAGTTAGATAAAATAAATTATTTTTAAAATTTTCATGTTTCAATAAATTCTTGGGAAAAAAATTAAATCTTAAATTTTTTTTGTTTTAATTTTTCAATTTTTATTAAAATTCAAAAAATAGTTCAAAAGTGGTCAATATACTGTTACGAGAGAGCCATATTTCACATGGACTCGTGAGAGCCACGTTTCACGTGGACTCCTATGACTCCCATGCATGCACGTCACTAGGTGGCGTTAATATTTTCTCTTTTCTATCTCTTATCCTTTCCTACTTCATATACATCTCTTCTTTCTTACTTCTTATAGGATTAGTATTCTATGTCTTCATGATGAGCATCACGCCGGGATCGTTGAGGGAGTCTGGATTGTTGGTATTGGTTAATCATCAATGTAAAGACACAAGCTTCTCTCTTCTTCGTTACCATTCTTCATGGTATCAGATCCATGGTTAATCCACATAACAATACCAACAATCCAGACTCCCTCAACGATCCCGGCGTGATGCTCATCATGACACTGCTTACCGGTGACAACTACATCACCTGGAAGAGAGCGATGACAGTGGCCCTCTCGGCCAAAAACAAGTTGGGCTTCGTTGATGGGGCGATCAAGCAGCCCTCCACAACAGATCCCCTTTTCGCCTCTTGGCAACGCGATGACAACATG